CTCCCCATGCCAAAGGCAGAGGAAATGCGAAGTTCTCCCTGCTCCCTTACCCTGCTTAACATTGTGCTTGATTCACTCATTCTCTTTGGCTTTGGTATCTGTAATGGCTCCCAACTGCCCCACACAGAATCCCACTCCTTTCTCAGCCCAGCACTTGGGGCCTCTTACAGCCTAGCCCAGCCCTGGTTTCCCCTGTCTCCTTAGTTCCGCCCTCTCCCCACCACTATCTCCTCCATTTCTAGTCTAGTCTTTGTTCTCGCTTCTGGGCCTGGTCTGCAGGTAGGACTCTGGGCACGCCCCTCCCCACCATTTCTGACGTTTAACAATAGGTATGCCTCACACGTATCATTTCCACCTAGGTAGCTACACTGTGCACTTGGCAGCCCACCACCAACACTCAACTGTACCAGCTCCCGCTCCTTGCACTGACACCTTGGGGGCCTGCCTCCTCCTCTCAGCTGCAAGGCCCTTGTCCTGAGCTTTGAGCGCCCACAGACCAGGCAGAACTGGTCCACCTCAGCTGTAGAACAAACACTTCACCAACAGTGGAGAAGTAAACAGTTATTCCAAACAATGTGGGTTCAAAAAAATCTAGAACAGCCTGATTCATCTGAAGCTAGTTTAGGCAGCTTGGATTATCCAGACAATAGCCTCATTTCTCTTCCTTTCATGCACGTGGACATGGCTATGTAACCACCAGAAGGGAAGAACACAGCCCATGACCTTGGCATCAGCTTGGAGCCCAAACTATGCAGCAGTGCGTCCGACCTTTTCCCACACTCCCTACCTGGTATCTATGAGAGCCTTTAACATGCCAGCTCCAAAAGAAGACGCCTTGACTCTCTACAAAGAAGTTCATGGCCTGAGGTAGAAGGCAAGAGGAGGCCACATGGCTCCTAAAATAGGATGACAGCCATGGCGACTATAGAGTTCCTTGCTGCCAAGGGCAATTCTGACAAACGCACTTATGAAACCTGGCATTTAGACAGGCCAAAGTCCTCCCACTCGGTAAAAGAGGTTCTCTTTATTCTGTCTTCTTTAATATTTTCTTACTTGTTGAGCAACAGAAGGGAGAATAGAATAGGAAATTGTGGTTACCTGGGAACAGAGACATAGGAGAAGGAGACTGGGTTTTCCCCAGCTCACCCACCATGGATTTTCCAGACTCCCACCAATGAATAAGAGGCAGAATTCCAGGAAGGACATAAGCTAGGACTGATACAAATATCAAACTCTTTGACTAAAGTCGTCTGCCCTACCTGTTGGTCAGCAGTCCTATGAAAGGGTTGGTGATGAGCTGGACGGTGGCTTTCGAGGCAAACAACAGACCGACTTGCACGTTTTCATTCAGGAGGTCTTTGTCTTCACTGGGACAGTCGGAAGGGACAGCGGATGCGTTGGTCACCATGTGCTGTGTGGTGGTCTGATGAAGCGGCCCTTCCTGCAGGTCTCTGGTAGCGTTCCCAGTGACCATGGTCGAGTTGTCATAATAGGAGAAGATGCTCCGGAAGCTGTCTGAGCTGGAGGCCGTGTGCACTGGCCTGGCCGTCTGGATTTCTGTAGCATTCTTCTCATGCTTAATGCTGTACAGATAACTTGGGATGATGGGGACTGGGGATGAGAGCAGAGTGGCAAGGTGGTGATCACACTGAAACCCTCTCCAGGAAAAAAAATCAGCAAAAAACTATGGTTGCATCGGCCAGGAGCAGTGGCTCACACCTGTAATTCCAGGTCTTTGGGAGGCTGAGACGGGTGGATCACCTGAGGTCAGGAGATCGAGACCAGCCTGGCCAACATGGAGAACCCCTCTCTCTACTAAAAATACAAAAATTAGCTGGGCATGGTGGCACCCGCCTGTAATCCCAGCTCCTTGGGAGGCTGAGGCAGGAGGATCGCTTGAACCTGGGAGGTGGACGTTGCAGTGAGCCAAGATCGCACCACTGCACTCCAGCCTGGGCGACAGAGTGAGACTCTGTCTCAAACAAACAAACAAAACAACAACAACAACAACAAAACTATGGTTGTGTCAAATGCCAGAAGAGATCCAGAGAGGTTGCAGGTCTACCCCAAAAACAGGAGCCCTGTGCCAGATGTCTACAATGACATTGCAGCAAGTTCACTTTCCTTAGCTCACTAGAAAGAACCAAGCCCCCAGCGGCCCTGAAGACTATCTCCTCTCAAAGGCAGCTGCTGTGCTGAACTGACTGCTCCCACAGATTCTGTCGTTTGTGGGTTTCTTCCACATTGTTCCTTCAAGGAATATTTCAGAAAAGCAAAATGTGGTCTGATGTCAACACAGTGCTGACCTGGGGTCAACCGGTGCTTCTAAGAAAGAGAGGCTCAAAAGACTTTCAAATGAATGAATCAAGGAAACAGAAAACTACATTTCATTATGTGTCTTAGAAAAAAATTAACCTGCAGGAAGTAATAACTTGGAAATTCTGCAACAAGCCCACTTCATTCTTCCATTGTGTGAGTAGGAATCTGCAATTTTTCCTACAACTTGTAAGATTTAAGAATTCCTGAGACTTTCACAAGGAAAAAGCAAAACTGTGACACAGACCAGGCTTGGTGGCTCACGCCTGTAATCCCAGCACTTTGGGAGGTCGAGGCGGGTAGATCACCTGAGGTCAGAAGTTCAAGACCAGCCTGGCCAACATGGCAAAACCCTGTCTCTAATAAAAATACAAAAATTAGACAGCTTTGGTGGCGCAGGCCTGTAACCCAGCTACTCGGGACGCTAAGGCAGGAGAATCACCTGAACCCGGGAGGTGGAGGTTGCAGTGAGCCAAGATTGCGCCACTGCCCTCCAGCCTGGGCAACAGAGTGAGGCTCCGTTTCAAAAAACAAACAAAAAACAAAACAAAAAGCAACAACAAAAAAAATACAAATTAAATTGTGAAACATATAATCGAAGCTGTGAGCACATGTGTCCAATGGAGCATTCCAGCCTAAGCAGAACTAATACCCTTGGTACTGAACAGGAATGAGCTCCACGGCTCTGATAACTCCTTGAGATGAAACCTATCAGATGCTCTGAAAACCGCTGTGAGAAAACCTGCAAATGGAGAGAAAGGAAACAGCTCCCACCACTTACAGTCTAAATGAGTCGTGATTTTTTTTCATTCGTTAAACACTGGGATTTTTTTTTTTTAAGGAAATGCATACCAAATCCTTCTCTGTTAATGGGCCTAATTAAGAGATCTGAATTTCAATTACTTAATTTTTCAAAATTCCATTATAGGAAAAAGAATAAAACCAACATTGTTCAAATCGCTCTTGCAATGGTTCCTGAAATATTTCCATCTCAAGTCATTCACTAATACAATATACCTGAATGTCTTTTTTTTTTTTTTTTTTTTTGGAGTAAGGGATCGAAACTTGCTCTTTTAGGTACTACACCAAATTATTAACCTGCATTTTCGAGTAGCCCAATAATTATTCTAACACGTAATTTTGAACTTTAGGAATTTCTCTTCTGGAACAGAAATCTTTTTCATCGCAGTGAAAGCAGGCAAGAGGATGCGGGAAATTATCAGGGGGAAACATAAGTTCTGGGTCTTATCGGATGTCACAGTTTTTGACCCAAGCATCAGGAAAGCGAAGCCACCAAAGCGGCTCCTCCTAGCCCGGGCGCGGCAGCCTAGAGGGGATGTCTTTTTTGCAAAGCGAGTTCTCCAACTTTCCCGGGGCTTGGCGGAGCTCCGGGACCGCGCTGGGGTAAGCGGAGTGCCGGGGAAGGGGCGCCGGGACTGGGGTGCCGGGGCAGGGGTGCCCTGTCCGCACGTACCCACGACAGTGAGCAGCATGTTGTCCAGCAGCAGCGCCAGGAACACGATGAACAGGATGAGCTTCCGCGAGCGGCGGCTCTCCTGCAGCCAGCGGACCAGCGCCAGCTCGCTCAGGGCCATGTCTCCGGGGCTCCGCTGCGGGCGCGGCGCGCGGTGAGGACCCAAGGCGGCCGGGGACCCCCATTCTCCCGCCCCCCAGGCCGCGGAAGGGAGAGTCAGGGAGCCGCGCGCACCAGCATCCGGGGACACCCCCGGGCGCCCCAGCCTGGGCTCACCTGCCTCGAGCACGTCCCCACGAGCGCCTGCGCTCCCTGGAAAGAGCGCCCGCGAGCGCCGTCGGAGACCCAATCTGGGGACCCAACCTGGAACCCCCAGGACGCTGCCCCGATCCCGCCGCCCCCAACTGTGCCACTTCCCAAACTGCACGCTCGGCCCCGTGCACCTTGCGCCCTGCGCCCCGGCTGCCCCGGGGTCCCTGTAGCCCCGCTCGCGTAGCTCTGGGGGCCTCCCTGCCTCCCTGCCTCCCCCGGCCCCGCTCCCCTCCGGCTCCGCGCCCTGCGAGCAGGGAGCCGGGGCCGCGTTACCTCGGGGTCGCCTGCTATGCGTGCCCGAGTCCTCCGCGCCCGCGCCACCGCCCGCAGCGCAGTGGGCTCCGTCAGTCCGGGCGGCTCCGGGTCGCAGTCTCCGCCCCAGCGCCCCTCCGCCGCCGCTCAGTTTACCCCTTCCGACTCTGACGTCACGGCCGGAGGGAGTGGGGGCGGGGGGCTGGGGCGCCCCGGTCTCCGCCCGCCCGCGCCGTCGCTGCGCAGGAGGGGCCGCCTCCCTGTCCCCGCCTCGACCGCGGCCGCGCCTCTTCTCCGGACCGTGCGCGTGGCCGAGTGCCTTGGGGACTCGGGCCTGGGGAAGCGGCAGGGGCGCAGAGGGAAAGAGGTCAGAGACCCTGGACGAAGGGTGAAGGGCCAGGGACCAAGGCGAGGAGACAAGGCTTTCTTGTGGGTCCAAGTAGTGGCACGAGCTGCTTTGAATAAATCAGGTGGCTCTTTGAGCCTCAGTGTCCCTGAAATGGGCCTTGAGGACGGGAATGATGGCCGTGGGGTAAGATCGCCAGCGGTGACAGGTGCTGGGAGCCAGGGACAGGCTTCTCTTTCCTGAGAAAGCCACGCTTTGCACCCACCATTCCCTCCCCTCTCCTTCCTCTGCAGCCGCGATGCGGGGGTGCCACTCGGAGGAGCCTTTGAGTCCTGGGCATCCTCAAGTTGGTGACCGGGGAAAAAGGGGATACCTTTCAGTGTCGCCCTACGGTGGGAGCTGAGGAGGTGAGGGTCCCAGGTCTCAGAAAGTGAGAGCAGTGAGTTTGGGCCTCTGGGGCCACTTGAGCAGGGGACCCTGGAGGCTAGGTGAGTGCCCCTGGCCTCTGAGAAAGGGCTAGGGGGTGGGTTGTGGGTGGGGCAGCAGGCTTAGGCCCTGTGTCCTGTACTCTCGCCCCTCGGTCCTGTGCCTGGGCATCTGGGTGAGAGGTAGTTCCTAGAGCCAGGGGCCTGTGTGTAGCTGGTGCAGAGCTGTCATCCTCACTGCCAAGGGCTAAGGGCCTGCCTTTGATTTACAGGTCCCTTTTAGAAGCAAAGGAGAAACAAACAGATGCCCTCTGACATCGCTGGAGCTCTGCAGGCCCCTCCGAGGGGACCATGGGAGCAGGAGCTGTTTTCTTGGAAAACCACCTAGAATAAATGTTACCCTGTCACAGTCTCTTAGCAGAAGAGTGGCCTTGTTTTATTAATGTTAGCTTGTTGTCAGCAGGAGGCCACTGAGAACAGCAGTGTGGTGTGTGGCTGTCCCCGCTCTCTCCGCCTCCCTACTCCCTTGCAGAGACCCCCTGTGCTTCCCATTGCTACCCCGAGTGTGAGAAGAGATGGTTGAACAGGTAAGTAGGTCAGGAACATGGGTCTCCAGGATGTCGCAGGATGTACGCAACTTAAATATTAAACAGGGAGGACAGAAGGAAAACCACTTAGGAGGAGGAAGCAGATGGCAGAGAGCCATTTAAGATGGCAGGAGGGTATCACTCACGGAGTGCCCCAGAGTGCTTGCTCTGGAGTTTCAGAACCTAAGATGCAGACTCTACCCCAGGGACCATGGGGACAGAGAACCATCATGGTAAAGGGTGCCTACCAACATGCCCAGGTCCCAGTCTTCTACTTCCTTGACTGGTGGCCTTGGGCTAGTTATGTATCCTCTTCGTGGCTTAGTTTCACCATCTCTGGAATGGAGATACTCACCAGACCTACTTCAGCGTGGTTGTGAGAATTCCACGGGAATGCATAGGCAGCTCTTAGCACAGTGCCTGGCACAAAGTGAGAGCTCTGTAAGTGCCGGCCCCTCATTCATGTGGTGAATATGTGTTGAGTTCTTACTGTGTGCCAGGCACTGTGGTTAATGCTGGGGAGACGGTAAAAGTCCAGACAAATCCCTGCTGACATTCTGAGCTGATAGCAGCATCATAGCAGTGAACACTGGAAGCCACACCAAACTCCAGCCCAGACAGCTGGATGTAGATGGCTCCAAGGACAATGCCAGCCTGGCATTCCCACCTCCCGATCACTGCCAACACCCCTAGAACAGTATGGCCTATAACAGGGTCTTCAGACTTTTTGTTGAAACCCTCTAAAAAATGTTTAACAATATGTTTGCCTTATATATTTTCAAGTTGGCATCTACAATGAGTTTTTTAATCATATATTTAAATAGGGCATATTGTATTTATTGACCTTTATATATAAAACTATTATATCTCTCTTTTAAATATACCCAAAGGAATTTATATAAGAACACAAAAGCGCCATGTTATACTTAAAAATATAAACAAGCATCCCTTTAATAGTCAAAATATTTACATTGTGTCCTTTACCCCTTTAAAGTATGTTTCCATTCTGTTTCCAGCATATTTTTATCCTACTGTAATGCTTTTATCGTTTAAATTCTGTATTCATCACATTATCTATTATGTGAACTACGACAAATATGTGACTATGCATTAGCTTTTCAAAATTTTCTACATATGGACATAAATATGGCAACAATAGACACTGAAGACTACTAAAGGGGAGAGGGAGGGAGGGGAGAAAATGTTGAAAAACTAACTCTTGGGTACTATGCTCACTACCAGGGGTACAGGATCGATCATACCCCAAACCTCAGCATCACTCAATACACCCATGTAACAACCCTGCACATGTACCCACTGAATCCCCAAACAAAAGTTGAAACTATAAAAAAAAAGTGTAGGCACAGTGACTCATGCCTGTAATCCCAGCATTTTGGGAGGCTGAGGTGGGAGGATCTCTTGAGGCCAGGCGTTCGAGACCAACCTGGGCAAGATAGTGAGACCCTCTACAAAAAAAATTAAGAATTAGTCGAGCGTGGGTACACAACTGTGGTCCCAGTTACTTGGAAGGCTGGGTTGGGAGGACCACTTGAGCCCAGGAAGTCAAGGCTGCAGTAAGCCATGATCACACCACTGCACTCTAGCCTGGGCAACAGAGCAAGACCCTACCTCAAAAATAAATAAATAAATAAATAAATATTTTCTTATGGCCATAAGGCCCTAAAATTCTCTTTAGGATTATCTGATTATACCAATGATTAATGGTATTTAAATGATCAAGACATCATACACAAATATGCATTTCGATAAATAATTATTAAACATAAAAAGGAAAATTGTATTAAAAGTACATTACTTAAGAGACGCATAGGGAGGGGATTTTTGGAGCCTTGATGAAAGAGACACCAAAAGTCTCTGTTTGGTGCCAAGGATGTTTTTGTGCCTCAGGACACTGTATATAGGAAGGGGGTCAGACTCAGGTTAGACAGGAAGGGAGCCTTTCTTTGCCCAGGGGAAGATGGGAGACTGTGGAGAGGGGAGGCCATGCAGGAGCATGTGCATGTCCCCACGCAGGTCCATCTCAGCCAGATGAGCTTTAAAATGGAAGACATGAAAACTGAGGGTCTCAAAAGCTTGGGACATCTTCATATACACTCAGTGTCCTGCCATTCCAGGCTGAAGAGCCTCCACAGCCACTTCTGATACTTCTCAGCCCTTGCCTTCCCCCTCTGGCCACAGTGGTTCCTCTCAGCATTTCTCTGCCGCAGGGTCTTTGCACATTTTCCTTCCTCTTCCTCTTCTTTTCTAGTTATTTCCTCTCTCAGTCCCAGCATCGCTTCCTGGAAGAAAGCATGCGGTCCAGCATGAGACAGGCCCCTCCCTTACAAACCCTCATGAAGGTGTTACTTCTTTTTACTTCACTTCCTCCTTTGAGTAACCCTCAAAGAAGCATTTCTTCCTCTAGAGTTACTTCCTCTCTAGAGGGAAGTAACTCTCCCTCCTCTCCCTCCACTCACTTGCACCTTTTTTAGACACTGGAGACTGAGGAGGTACAAAGGTGGTACCAGGATTGACTTTTTCATTACATTTCAATATTTGGGAATGATAATTTCTAAATTCTATTTAGGAAGTAGCCACCTGGGACATAGCAGTTATTTGAAATAGACATTACTGGAGATACACTAACAGAAGTTTAAGCTGTAGACAGCATCCTAGTGGGGGTCCCTTACAAGTTACATGACCTTGGTCATGCTGCTTGACTTTTACACATCTCAGTTCTTATCTGTCTCTCCAGCAGGTTAACAGTCCCTCCCTCCCAGCGTAGTTATAGAGAGAAAGTGGGATGGGCCTTGCCTAGTACCTGACATCCATTAGGTGTTCTCTGTTACTGGAAAATGGGACGTGCTGGATACAGGGAAGGTGTAGGTGTTTCCTGGGGGAAAAATCCTCAGGTGCTCCCCCACCAGAGAACTTGGAAACAAGGACGATACCCTCAACTCCTGGGCATTAAGCTGTGACATGCAAATAATGGGTCAGAGCAGAAATGAACAAGGCCATCCCAAGAGACTCAATGGTTCCTAGGCTAGCCCAACCTGGCGTACTATTATCACACCGACAGGGAAGGAAGGGAGAGTAGAGTAGCCAGGCAGGAGCCAGCAAGCTGGCACAGGATTGGAACAGATAGGTCACAGAAGGGGGAGCCCAAATAGCTACCAAGCTCATGAAGAGACACTCACACACTAGTAATCAGAGAAATGCCTATTAAAATGAGGTCGAGATGCAGCCCTACACCCGGAGCACTGGCAACAATAGGAAGTTGGGTGAGGCCATTTGTTGGTGAAAATATAGGGAAACAAGGGTACTTTCCTTGGGGTGCATGGGGACTGGTACAGCCTTTCTGGAGAGCAATCAGGAACTTTTTGGTGGAATTAAGTAAGTGCCCACCCTCTGATCCAGAGTGCTCTCTCTGCCATCTTCTGTTCAAACCAAGAAGCCAGATGTAAAAGCCCCCCAGAGGCTACCCACAGAAGAGCCCCTGCACAAAGAGCTGCTCCCAGGAAGAGCCTGGGTAAATGTAGGATACATTGTAGGTTTCAGGGCACACCAGGGAAGTCGCTGAGACAGTTACCACTGCGCTTTGTGGGAAATTCCATCCCATTTGTACATAGCCCCAGGTGTCTCCCATGGCCTGTATCTCAGTCCCCTGAATCTCCAGGGCTAGCAGCTTCAACTGAACTTTCCTAGGAGGGCTCCATCTAGACATGATTTGTTTGCGTCATCTTCAGACTGGATAGAGCAAGTGTCTTTTGGGCAAGACCCTCAAGAGCTCCTTGCCAATCTCCTCCTAGGAGAGCAAAGACAAGGTGCTAGTGGGAGGATTACCACGTGGCTTAAGGGAGGGTCTGGCTGCTCCCCACGCTGTGGCTGGAGAGTAGGAAGTGAGAGGGCCCAGAACAGGGACCTGAAGGTAGGCTGTAGTCTCTCTCTCTCTCTCTCTCTGTCTCTCTCTATCCTGTTCGTCTCTGAGAAATCCCTACTCAGAACCTAAGGGGCATGGACAAGGATGGTCATTGCCATGTTGTGTGCAGCAGTGGGGAATTGAGGCAACCTGGGTTTCCCTCACTAGGGAAGATGTAGGTGAAATGTGGAGGACGTGACTGTAGAGTACCATGGAGCCATGGAAGCCGTGCACTGCATTGCACACATCTCCACAGGCAGATTTTAGGAGGCCTTGGGTCTTGGGAGGAGGAGGAGAGTAAGTTCTATAGCATAATTTCAAGTGGGTACATGACAAGCACATGGACACCATTACATTTTTGGAGGCTTCATTCCCATCCAAGGGTATGAATCAAGCACATTGGAAGTGGATCCCCTTCTCCGGGAGGGGGCCAGGAGTGGGGATCTAGGATGAAGTGGAAATAAGTGAAAAGAAACCAAGAAACGGGCACCACAGTCTGCTCAGAACTGGGCAGAGGATCAACTCACCTCTCTGTACATAAGGTACCCCACCACTGCCACCCCTGCCAAAAGGATGTGTTGGTGATAAAGTGGCTGTCACCATAGACACTTAGAAAAGGCAAACACTTTCAATGTAGCGTTGGCTGCCTGAACACACAGGCCATGCAGGGAGATGCCTCCCGGGGAGCAGGCAGGGCCATGTGCTGTCTCAAGCCAGACTGAAGGGCAGTGATAGCAGATGGAAACCTCCTTCCCCAGAAAACAATGGCAAAACATCGGAAAAGGGCTATGTCTGGCTCAAGGCAAAAGACTCTTGGATGGATTCTTTTTTGTTTTGTGGTTTTGTTTTTGGCCTTTTCCCTCTAACTTCCTTTATAAACCTTTAACTGTTTAAAATTAAAATTATAACAT